AAAAAGTCAACTCAGGAACCAAAGTAACCATCCTCAGAACTTTCCAGATTTTTAAACTGCTGTAGCAGTCTCACCCTCACTCTTTTTACTCTTTAAAACATTTTCTTTCTGATTAAGATAATAGTTAGGGCTGAATCAGGTGACCCAGAAGTACCTGTGCGACAACCATATAATAAACATGGCTGGTTAAACCCTGTGAATCTCATTTATCAAATGCACTGGAGCATCCTTCATGGAAGTAAAGGAGATGATGATAACCCACAATTCAACGAGTGCACCATAAGACTATTAATGAAAGCAAAGATAAAAATATCTGACACGATGATGGAGGCCAGCGTGTAAATTACAGCTACGGCTTCCATCTTTTATAATAATGCATATGCTTTGAACTTATAATAGCCTTTTATTAAAATCTGCGTGTTATCTGTAATGTCGATTTAGAAATATAATAAGCTTAATTAAAATGATCAAAGTGAAGCGAGGGTTACAGTGTTACACTGGCTATGTTCTCACTTGGGATATTTCGGGATTAGCATCATTAATTCTATTTCAGAGATGCTAAAAGCCTTAATATGGTTAGAAGATGTTAGATTTAACACTATTTCTTAATACCAGCATTTTATTTCACCAGCATGGATGTTACATTATATTGTTCATATTTATAAAGCCTCCATAAAACATGAAGATAAGAACACAAGTTTTTGTAGTCCCCCTACTAAAATTGTAGTTTTATCACGGAAGACCAGCGTCAACAAAATTCACAAGCTTTTACATCTTTTCTTGACCTTGTGACATTTTCCATCAAGGTCAAATAAGATGTGACCCAGTTCTTTTTTTGCCCTTGTTCTTCAGCCTCGTTCCAACCTCGAGGAAGCTTTAACATGTTTGCCTTTACTTACATCAAGCTGAAGTTGAGATAACAACATAAAACTAAACTGATAAAGTTTTAAACTTTGGAGCAGGTCCCAAAGTTCCTAAAGATACGAAATCCCCGAGGCTGAGTTGGTGAAAGTATTCTAAAATTAAACAAAGGCGTGCGGAAGATTTCAATCTGATAGCTTATTCAAAAAAAGCACGGAGGCTAAATCAAAACGGAGATTTTGCTCCCGAGGGAGTGAGTTCAAACAGAATCAGTTCTGAAGAGAAAAAGGTTTCGCTCCATAAAAGCTCGTGTTTGAATTTTCTCCCTGTGTGAGCATCAGATAGATTTGTCTCCTGTTAAAGGCTCTCCCTGATCTAAATCGAGGCTCTGAGGATGGGAGGCGTTGTGCGCTGTACAGGTTGTAGAGCTCCTTAGGGCAATAAAGAAAAGTGACTCAACGGGCTGCTAGTGTCACACAGACAGGAATAAGAATATTTGACTATGTTAGAGCTGCTGAAAGGAAATGAGAGAGGACACGTTAGAGTGGCGTCCTTGGAGGATTTCACCTGATTCTAGACTTTTTCTGTTTCAAGGTGTTCACTGAAGACTCTTTCAGCGCTTTAATATGAGACATATGAGCACAATCGAGCACTGAAGCATGGCTGGAAGTGTTTCTGATTTTATTATGATGTCGCAAAGGTGACCTGTAACTGTTTGGATTTAAGAGGTCATTTCACGTGTCAGAAATACACAACTTTGTGATCACATCCACAGTACGAAGTGTCTTAAACCTGCATGGTTTCTAATGGCCAGCAGGGGGCGACTCCTCTGCTGCTAAAAGGTTCTAGCTTGTATGGAAGTCCATGAGAAAACAGCCCTGCGCTTCCACACTGTGAATTCAGTAAACGTTTTCCTGATGACATCATCACCTCAGTCACTGATTTCCAGTAATAATGAATAAAACATTAAATTAATTTTGTTAATTATAGTTATTACTAGGGGTCAGAAAGGAGGACTATCCAGGAAGTAATCAGCAACATATGCCAATGAGCCTCAGTTTCTCCATCAGATCACACATATGGTTTAAAAACACCAAGATGGCGACAGCATAAAGACTCACTTGAGGCTTCTTAATGGGAGTTCACTAACCAGCAGAGATGGGCAGTAACGCGTTACTTGTAATGCGTTACTGTAATCCGATTACTTTTTTCAAGTAACGGGTAAAGTAAGGGATTACTATTG